TAGATGGCTACAATTACATTTGGAATGTTAAAGATGCTCTTATTAGAGGAGTTTGAATGTGAATAGAACTTTCATATGAGGAGGAGATTTATTATATAACTGTAGATAAGATTTTGATCACCAGAAATTAAATAAATAAATATGTATAAATATTTAATATTATTAAAACATATTATTGAGTATAATTTTTATTTAAAATATTCTTATAAAAAATCATCTAATTCTTTTCTTGAATTTAATATAACTTGATTTATTTGTGAAATCAAGCTATAATTTATATTCTATAAGAACATGAATTTAAACATGTATTTATGGTAACTTGATTTATTTGTGAAATCAAGTTATAATTTATATTTTATAAGAACATGAATTTAAACATGTATTTCAAAACAAGATTTGATTATTTGAAGAGTATTTTTAATTTGTCTTCAAAATATTATTAAAAAACTCTTATAGAATGTTTATATTTGATGCAACAGAGCTTAATTTATTATAGTCTTTAAACGTAAATGAATGAGACTTTGATGGCTTTTGAGAGGAATTTCTTATTTAAAGAACTTATCTTAAAAAAAAAATTATATATATCTAAGAATTAGTTTTTCAGGTTAAGAATATTTATTTATAGAGCTTGTAAAGTCTCTTAAGTCATTTTACTATATCGCTTATTATTATTTTATTAGTTGATTTATATGCATGAGATTTTATAATATGAAAAGATATTTTAAATATTTTTTTCATGTGTCAATTTTTATTGGTCAAGAAATTTTTTTTAAGGTTAATTTATTTTTCATATTATTTATTTTAATTTTTATATAAAAATAAAATAAAAATGATATATGATGGAATTTGATTGGTAAATTTTTTTTTGTTTTTACAAATATCCCAAATTGATACTTTGAAATTTGTTTTACTACGAAAGATACTGCAATTTCACAGCAACTTGATTAGTATAGAAACTGTAGATGAGATTGGATAGTACTCATCTTCTGCTACATTCACAAATCGTGGCATTATCTTCAACTTGATAATTCACCTGTACAAAGGGGCCGGCTGCCAATCAGCCCAGTTATGTTCGTCTACGTCTTTAACAATTTGTTTACAGGAGCTCACATTCAAGGTTTGTCTGCAATTAGTCTCTGGATCGAGATCCAAGGTAATGGCGGTACCAAATGATAACTCGTGCCGCACTATACCATGGATATCAAAATCCCCGAACCAAATTGCTAGCAGCTCATATTCCTTGGTTAACCTCTTTTTCGAAGAGAAAGCAACTTGGATTTTCTTCTTTCATAATCGGAGTCCACAATTTATATGAGAGACTTCATAGCAAAAGCTCTTGTCAATAATGACACAACTTTCATCAAGCTTATCGCAGACAAATCAATGTTTTCCATTCAGATTTTCCCAAATCTTCTATGGAAGAGTATCCAAGCATCCCATTGACACCTGAGACAACACACTGTTGGAGGAGGCAGGCATTTCTACTCCATTGATCTTACATGGAACAGTTGGTGCAGGTGTAGGAGACAAGAGCGCAACATAACTATCAGAATGAGATGATGTAGAAGACAGGGACATTTTGGATCTGTCAGAATCATGGTCGGCCACATTACGAGAATTACTGCAACAGATTAGTTTTGTGGCGATGTTATTGAGTGGTTGCCAGGCATACTATGAGATTTTTTATTAAATTCATGTATTTTATAGACAGTATTATTATATATTTTATATGTAATTTTGTATAATTTATAATTTAACATATCAATGGTATCTCTTTCAACTTATAATTTTATTAATTCATAATCGATAACAAGAAAAAACGCATTGAGTATTTAACAAAATAACATAATCATCAACTTAAAATATATATAATTAACCAAATTCATAATTTAATCTAAACTAACACTAACTATTTAAACTTATAATTTTATTAATTCATGAACAACAACCTAAAATAATTGATTATTTAATAGAATAACCTAATTATAATATCTAATTAATAACTTAAATTATATCTAATTAATTTTATTTTTAATTTAAAACCCTAACATTCAATACAATTAAATTAACAATAATTAAATATAAATCAAATCAAATTAATTAAAGAAAATATTTGATATAATGTGGATGGGGAAGATAATCAATGATGACCTTTTAAGCTTAAGCCCAAAAATAAAGAGTTGTCACAGGTACAAAGAGAGAAAAAGGTGATACAGTATTATTATAGATGTTTTTGGCTACGAAGAGAGAGATAAAGGACAAAAAAGTTACTGGAAATTAAAATTTGAATGAAACCACAGTAATTGAGTTTGTTTAGTACTATGTTAGTTGATATATGATTATAATTTAAAAAAATTATTTTTTAAAAATTATTTTTAGTTAAGATTAGTTTAAAAAAATATATGTTTGATTAAAATTATAGTTGAAATTAGGATTGAATAAAAATTAATTTAATATATTTAGTTAAAAAATATTTTTTAGATTAAGATTGTAAAATAATTAATATGTATATGATTTTTAATTTAAATATTATATTTTTAATTACTTCTATTATATCATAAAATAAATAATATTAATATCAAATACTTTGTATTATTTGATTAAATTATGTAAATATTATATCATCAAATAATTTTTTTTAATTTTTTTTAAGTAAAATATAATTAAGAAAAATTACTCAAGACGTGTGTTTTTTTTTGGTTGTTATTCAGCCACAATCACAATTTATATAAGCCTTTTTAATATTTTTACTATTAATAAAAATGCTAAAACATAGTTCCGGATCATATTTTAGTATGCAAGAAAACTTTACATATGATACATTCAGACAGGGGCGGAACCAAAATATAAAATCAAGAGGGGCCAAAATGCTGTGATTTACACAGTGTATAAAACACTAAGAATGAATTTAAAGAAGGCTGGAAAAAATTTTTCCTTGCAGGGGCCGGGGCCCCTGCCTCCGTCCCTGCATTCAGGCATAGCTTCTCAGTGATTTAACTTCCTTTTTACTTGATGGTTTTCGAGGAATTTAAAGACTTACACACAATCTATAAGTGATGGCAATAGTCTCGGAATATGCGCTTTGATGTAACGTAAGACTGTTTGTGATCGGTGATGAAAGAAACTCAGGTCTAGAGGTGCTGCTGTTTGTGCAAGAAATTATTATCTAATACATGTGAAAACATGCTAGATTTTTAATTATTTTTTTTATTATGCAAAAAAGAAGAAGAAGAAAACTCCTGTGATGATGTTGTTTGCAGCCTTTGGAACCCGTACATATCCCCTGTGACGATGATCACAGAGCTCGAGACAAGAATGGTTTTCATATATGTTCGTAGTTGAGTAGTTCAGATTGAAAGGCCCTTCATGATCACGTCCTATCTTGTAATGGGAGAATGAGAGACAATCTCTATTTGTGAAACGGAAACGGATGGTGTCAACGCATTCCTCCTTTGACTTTGAGTGTCTTCTTGTTTATAATTTGAAGTTCTTTTTTTTTTTACCCTCTCCTTGTTGAAAAAGAAAACATAGAAACAGGCTCTACTCGGATACGCCTCAGGGGTTAAAGAATCAGCGCAGGTAACATTTCTGTTTAGCTTAAAGCACAAAATTTTATGATTGTAACTCCATTGGTTGGCAGGGCTTGTTGGTGCCCATCTTTGCAAGTGCAAGGAGTCCAAGGACTTCGAAAACCACACTAATCATGATTTATTAAGAGTCTCTTGGATGTTGAAATTGCTGTAATTAACTGAAAAATATTTTTTTTTTAGGTTTGTTTTTAATTTTAATGTATTTAATTAAAATTGCAATTAAAATTGTAGTTGAAAAACAAACAATTTATTAGCTAATTGTATTTGATTGATAAGTTTTTATATGAAATTTAATTGTAAAATTATTGAAAATAACATTTTATATATATATATATATACAGAACTTAATCTATTAATCATGCTGATGAATAAAGAACATGGAACTCGGTTTTAAAAATAGAATTGTTACATATTACCTTATATTATTTAAGTTAGGTGCATGGTTGATATATAATTTTTTAAAAAAAAATACATGATATAAAATTATTTAACAATTAATAAATACATAATTAACTATTATACATATAATTTCTAAATATAAAATATCATGAACGATATATATATAGAACAAATAAAAAAAAACTTTAATGTAAAAGATATTATCGTGTTAGTTATGGCATGGGTCTTAACTTTTTAACTTGTAGTAGTGATAACGATAAAAAAGCTTATAATAGTGTTGATAAAAGAAAAATTAAAATAATAATAATAATAATAGATGAGTGATGAGAAAAATTAGAATAAATAAATTCTTGCACAAGGAACAAAGGGGACGGGAATAAAGAATGTTAGCTCGGGTTGAGAAAGTTATGTTAATTAATTAGCAATGTCGATGAGAGAGGCACGAGAATTCTGATAGAAAAGCAATTATAAAAATGTGATTTAACTTAACCAAATATTTCACTCTGCATTTATTTTTAGCCTCAGCTACAGTGCCAAAACTAGCACTTAATAGTAAGAAGTAGCCATGATATATGACATGGGTGGAAAAGTTCAATTTTCACAACAAAATTCAGTGTGTTGAAAATCCTGTAGGCCATCTCATCATTTAAAAAGACAAGGTTGCAATTGTTTATTTGCACCTGTGTAGCCATACCTTGTTGGCCAGCTTGCCCAGAAACAGAACTAGATTATATTGGTTTTTTCAGGTTTTTTGTCTTAATTAACCAAATCAAACCAAACTGAAAATGATTTATTCAATTTGAGATTTTAAATTAAAAATATGAAAATTCAGTTTGGTTGATTTTTTTCAAGTGAACTAAACTGAATGAAAATGCTCAAATCCTATGTTATACCATGCTTGAAACTGAGAGGAAAGCCATGGCAATCAAATTACAATGCAGTCTTGGGAGAGAGAGCAATAACTTGTTTCGTCCAAAGAACACATTACTACATTTTGCTGCTGTTCTAATGCAAACTTAACAGGCATTTGTTACTTCCAGTGCCCTCAATTCAAACAAAAATTTCACACGTTTTCACACCAGCACTGGGAACAAAATGCGAAGGATAAGAAAAAACAGAGGAAAAAAAGAAAGAAAAAAAAAAGAAATGAAAATGAATAGGGTATCTTAATGTATGAGATTAGACCATTGAGGATAGCTAACGATTATAGACCAGCAGCAAGACAAACCGAATTATTCATAAGTACCAATAAAATAAGCATTGCGCAACAGGGATGGGATAAATCACTCTTAAGCTTGAGGCTTCTCCCATTTGAGGGGCTTGACAACTTCCCAGGTGAAGTCTGGGTCATCCCTTCCAAAATGTCCGTATGCAGCTGTCTTCAAGAACCTATTACCCCCCCTCTTGAGATCCAGGTTGATGGTCATCATTCCAGGCCTAAAGTCAAAGCTCTCCTTCACAATCTTAAGGATCTCCTTGTCTGGAATTTTTCCAGTGCCATAGCTGTCCACAAAGACTGACAAAGGCTCAGGTACACCAATAGCATAGGAAACTTGCACAATGCACCTACGAGCAAGACCATTTGCTACGATGCTCTTGGCAGCTTGCCTAACAATGTAAGCACCACTCCTATCCACCTTAGTTGGGTCCTTCCCTGAGAAAGCACCACCACCATGGGCTCCCCAGCCACCATAGGTGTCAATAATGATCTTGCGTCCAGTGAGACCTGCATCACCATGAGGACCACCAATAACAAAACGGCCGGATGGGTTGAGGTGAAAGATAGTTTTCTCATCAAGGTACTTCTCCGGGATAACAGGCTTGATGACATGCTCCTTTAGATCAGCGGCAATTTCATCATTTGTGACAGTCTCATCATGCTGAGTAGAGATGAGAACAGTGTGGACACGAACAGGGACCATTGCACCATTGTCATTGAAGTACTCAACAGTAACTTGAGTCTTGCCATCAGGTCTTAGCCAAGGGCAGGTTCCATTCTTCCTCACCTCAGTGAGGCGAGCACCAAGCTTGGTGGCAAGAACATGGCTCAAAGGCATATACTCGGGGGTCTCATCAGTGGCATAACCAAACATATGGCCCTGGTCACCAGCACCAATCTCCTCTGGGCGCTTGGTAAAGTGACCGTGGACACCCTGGGCAATATCCGGGCTCTGTTGCTCAATGTTAACCAATACTTTGCACTTGTCAGCATCAAGACCAACATCGTCAGAAACAAATCCAATGTTACGGCATGTGTCACGAACAATCTTTTCATAGTCTATCTTTCCCTTGGTGGTGATCTCTCCAAAGACCATGACCATGTTTGTCTTTGTACATGTCTCGCAAGCAACCTTGCTGTCTGGGTCCTGCTCAAGGCAGGCATCGAGCACTGCATCAGAGATCTGGTCACATAGTTTGTCAGGGTGACCCTCGTTCACTGACTCGGAGGTGAATAGAAAGGTTTCCATTTTCTTGAGCTGCATGTCACAAAATTCACAACAAAGACCTCTTAATATGGTGATATGTGGCAACTATGTGCAAACTAAGCTTGCTTAATTAGTGTGGCAAGCAAAATTCCATCAACATGTGAGAATATGGTAAAAAGAATAGTGCCGAAAACATCCTAATGACTAATTTAGATTCTTCAAACTTTTATAAAAAGTTATAAACGGGCAGAATCAAAGTACAGGAAATGATAAGAATCTCAAAAGTTTATGCTCCTGAATGAGAGCAATTAGAAAAGAACAAAGAACAGTTAGATACCTTTACCACTGGAAGAGATAAACTTCTATAGAATCACTTGTCCAAAAAAAGTCGGGAAAAGAATCAAATACCCGATAAAACAACCCCCAATAGTGAAAATTCAGGTATTAACATGCTATGCTATGGTGAAAGTACCAAACGGCAAACAAAAATATTAGCTTCTAATACAGAGTGAGCTCCCAGAGTATCGCAAGCCCCATATTATGAATTGAAGATGTTTTGCACAGTTTATAACAGTTTTTTTTCCTACCATTGATTATATTAAAAGTAGAAACACCAAACGTGCCTCAATTACTTGCAGAAGTGCAAAGTTACATTTTTCTTGGTATAATTTATTAGTAATTGCACGATAGAAATGAATAAACACTAGATCTAAGCAAGAGGCACTCTGATACGATCATGATCGCAACGCTACATGGCCCCTTCAAGTAATACAAAACATTCTAGGAATCTGTCGATATATTTTCAGAGAGTTTATCACTAAAAAACTATCAAATTGATAAAAATAATCAGATCTGATGTATTTTAATGAAAATGTAAGCGAAACACATGCCTTTCAGACATGATGTTCTGCACACACTAACAGTCAAAACGAAATCTTCAACGTAACACCCGGCACAGACCAGACTCCAGAGTAAACGCAACATGTACCCAGATCTGTAACTTTTTGAACCATGTTTACTAAAAGACTTGAGACCAAGAAACTAAAAGACCACTCTTTAAACATTTATTTTTCTAGAGTCTACAAAGAAAACCCATGAAGAGAGCATGCAATATGATATAGAGTAAACAGTACTATAAAGTGGAGAAGGGCAGAAGATACCTTGGACAGGAGTCACCGGTACAGATCTAAGGGAAAGCTTAAGAGTTTGTCGGCCTGTGTGAGAGTTTCTAATCAGACCCCAAAGAATGACGAAAAAAAACTGCTGTGGTTACTTGGTATTTATAGACCTACCTACTGGTAACCGGATGGGGTGGTTTGGATTCTCTTAAATCTACGGTGGATTCTGTCAATTGCTTGAGGGACAAAACATAGCCGTTGGATGTCAGAATTTGGATTGGTTGGGGTTGGTGGGAGATGGATAAAAATGAGAAAATAATTTCATATATAGTTTCTTGGAAGTAATTTTCCTTTGTTGCTCTTGGAAAACTATATAGAAGTAGTGCTATTTTTATTCGATTAAATTTTTTTTTCGAATTTAATATGATCTTGGAGGGTTTGTTTTAACTTCCTAGCTTATGGGTTAATTTCAATAATATCAATATAATGTTTAGATTTAATTATATATTTTATAATTTAAAAATATTTTAAGAATCCACAAAAATAATCCTATAATAACTTTAAAGTAAAGTGTAATTATTGATCCAGTTAATTTAATATTCATGTATTTTTATTTTATTTTATTATTATTTTTTAAAGGGATAGTTACAAAGAAGAATTATAGTCTGATTTAAATTTTATTTTTTTCTATATACTTTTATAAATTACATCTTTCATCTCATAGTTATATATACAATAATAGTTTATATTGTTAAGAATGTATTTTATTTAAATTTTTTATTTGTTTCGTGATATAAAGTGTAATTTATAGAAATATAGTAGAAAAATAAAATTTATATCAAAAAATGAAAGGATTTTTTTAATTATTTCTTTTTTAAATTTTACTTTTAAACAATAATGACTTAAAAACAAAAACATAAAAAGGCGAAAAAACAAAGCAGTTACCATTACTAATAATAATTTGGTTGATTGACATAACCGGCATGGCTGGTTACTCACCAACCACAATCGGTAGCCGGCTCAGTGGCTTGAGTCATTGGCTTGGGTCTCTTTCTGCAGCTTGGGAAAAGGTTTTCGGCTCTTCGGATTTAGGTAACTGACAATGATGTGAATGGTTTCCCTGGAGTTGGTAACGCAATTTTCAAATTCAAATATCCATTTGAATTGACTTTAATCAATTTATTTGATTTTTTTTTTCATTCATGTTATTCAATGGACAATATTATCAAATTTAATCTAAATTATATATATATATATATATATAATATTTATATTTGAAAAAATGGTTAAAAACCTCATGTTCTTTAATACATGAATATTTTACTATTTTACGTACCAATTTTATTTTATTTTTATAAATCACACTTGCATATCCGTGGTTATAAAATTAATTTCACATTATATATTACAACTCAATCTAAAAAATATATAAAATATTATATGCTTTTTATACAAATGTTTTTTAATATTGAAAGTATTTTTAGAAAAATTCTTCACAAAACTACCACTATTTTCCTTATTTTTCCTTTCTCTTTCTCTTTAAAACACGATGAGTAGCCCCTCTTTTTAAAGTTTTGAAACTCGGCCTAATGATCGACCCAATCCAAGGTCCAGATCACAAGTCTTAACTGGATCACTATAGTCAACTCTATTTTTTTAACTATTTTTTTTATTTTTTTAATCAAAACGATATCATTTTGTTTAAAAAATAAAAAAAATAGTTAATGAGTTATAACTAGATTTTTAACCAGGTTTTAACAAGTCAACTAGTCAAGGTTAGGTGAGTTTATTGTGTTGTGCCTTCTTCTATTTTTTCTTAAACTCGGTCCGATTCCAGTCCTGGATCTGTAGGATCCCGTCGACATGCTGAGCCTGGCTTCAAAACTATGCCTCCCTCTATAAAGCCCAGTCACTATCACCATCATTAATTATGTCTTTCTTTGTCAAAATGGACAAGGAAATACATAGCTCTATGTGACCTTTTTTCTTGTGGGAATTAACTAAACACATATTCGTGACCTTTTTTCTTGTTTCTTGTGGGAATTAACTAAACACATATGTTATCACCTTATTCTTTTCTTTTCTATCTTATTTGTATTGAAAATTCATGACTATCACTATAACTTGTTACTTCCTTCCTTGTAAAAATGAACAAGGAGATGAATAATTCTTAATGAGCTTTTGCCTCGGAGGAATCAACTATATCATATCAAACATGTATTACTTGACACCCTTCCTAAATCTTGCTTTAAAAAATTAGATTATTTAATAGCTATGAATTTTTTAAATCCAATAAAGCATATATAATAACCTAGAGCATTTGCGAAATTCTCGAATTCTCTTTCCTAAATTTGTAATAACCACTTCATATAATTCTTTTTCTCAAGTTTCATAGCACTCCCAAGATATTTTGTCTAAGTTAGCTTTGACATATAAACACTCTTTGGAAAGTTTAGTAACTAATTAAAGTCTAAATTTAGGTTCAAAATCATATTAACCAGTTTTAGAAGATTAGACATATCTTGTAAACCGTACATCAAAAAAAGCTAAAATTTTATAGAAAGATACAAGACATATGAAAATATATTTGAGTAATTTTACAGGTTAAATGGATTTTGAAAGCATATTATTTCAGAAGGTCGAAGTTACTAGATAAATCTTGTCAAATTTATCAAACTAGACCTTTGTGTACTGTTTGGGATATATTTGGAACTACAGATGTAATTGTTCTGCGATAGAGTTTAATAGTTTACGTCTAGGGTTCCTTAAAAAAACATATCAATTTAGTTTGACAATCTTAGAATATAGTAGTAGCATAAAGAGTGAAAAAAAAATGTCCAAAAGTCATTTTTATCGAATCTACCACAATACATAAACAAGGGAGAATTTGGACCAAACCAATTCAAAAAGTTCTCAAATTGTGTAGACTGGTTCTAGGATTCCTAATCACACCCCATATAAAATCTGAGCTCATTTAGAGATCATTTATTATAGTAACCAAGGTCGAGATTAAAACTTGTTGTAATAGGTAAGATTCGTATCAGAAGAGAATTTTAAGTCAAATAAATTCATAATATTCTCAAATTTTATATTCTTGGTTTTAAGTTTCTAATATAACCCCATATAGAACTTGATTTCATTTGGAGTTTTTTTTCTTTAGGAACTAAATTTAGGATTGGTATTTGTCATTACGAGTCTAATTCCCATCAGTAATTCAAACTTGTTGTGCTGCTATTATTTTTCAATTATGATAGTGTAATAACATCATAATTGATATATTTAGGTTTCATTTAAATTTTTTTATATAACCTTTTCATCTTTTTTTCTTTCGTGTCTTCGAAACCATCCATTTTTCTTACAAATTTGCTTATTATTCGTGAAATTATAATTGTAGTTTTATCTTTGTTTGTTTTTATATTTTTCTTGATTCTTGAGTGATATAAACATATTTGGATATGTTATTAAGGTTGATATATTTGATTTTGATTTTAGTTCTCCAAGAGTCGAAGAAAGGTGAGAAACAAGAAGAATGACATAACAAGCTTATTTGAGTGAAAAGCCTATTTTTAAGTGAAACACAAGAAAAGTGTAAACATGTGAGGGAGTGGATGAGGAATACATATTTCTTGTCAACTAATTAATTTTCATATTCAAAAATTTTAGAGGCAAGTAACAACATGACACCATAAAAAAGAGATGATGAAATTATAATTTAATTATGCATTATAAATCAGCAGATGAATCATATATCTAATGAATTTAGAGATAGATTGGATAGGTTGGAGAAGCAACGTGTTAATGATCATAGTAGGGTTCAAATTAGGCCTAAGCAAAGAAAATTTAATGTTAGGAGGGTTATTAGGTGAGTTAACACTAATGTGGATGAGTTTGTGGCTGATAATATGA